TTTTTTATAATAGGATTGACCGCCGGTTAGAAACCTTTGATCCACAAAGTAGCGGGAATTTTCGATTGAATTTGAGTAAGAAGCTTGGAAGAGCACAAAGTCAGTAAATTTCACAAAACATAGGTCAATTATCGCTCTATACACTGATATTGTGAAAATTTTGTTACATGAACAGCTTTGACGCAAAAGGTATCACTGTTCGGCTTATGCAAATCTACAGAAACAGATTTAATAGAGGTAGGCTTATTGGCTGTAATTTTCAATAATGCAATTGGGTTACTTACGAATGAAACTTTTAAACAAAGGCAACAGCTCCTCAAAGTCGATTATTCCATTTTTATTCCAATCTATTTGTCATGTTGGAAGCTGCTCGCGCTATTAATGATGATGACTCCCACGAAGTCAATGATATAAGGTTTATTTACTAACATCAATAGGAAAGGATTTAAAATAATATTAAGTTAATATGCAGAATTTTTTTTTATATAGTAAAGTAGATGACCTTCAGAAATCTTGTGCTTTAATGGATGAACTGACATCGATCCCTAGCGACGTGAATAAGATAGCCGACAAAGAATTTGAATTATTTTCAAGGGAAATAACTTTAATGATCGGAAACGCAAACTACCAGAACAAGTGCACGTGTGTCAAGTTATTCCTTTTTTTTATTCGATTGTGTCTAGTTGTTTGGAAGAGGATAATAATATTTGTCCTCTGTTTTTAGCAAAGTTGACAATAACGTACTTCGATCATTAAAAGAAGATGAAGTAAAAGTAATGAAAAATCTACAAGATGAATTGCTTCGTATGCAAGGACATGTAAGCATTTCTGAAATAGTAAAGTTCATTAAACCGTCACTGATGTGATGTTATCTTTTCACTATAGTGTAAACACATGGAAGAAGCAAGATCAAATCAGCAAACTATTCATAGATTAATTCAGGCTTCCGAAGATCTGACTTCACAGATGGCAAATTTTTCTAAAATCTATGATAGTGATATAGGACCCTGGATCAAGGGGAATCAGAAAAAAGAAAATGAGAGAGATATTGTTCAAGGTGATGAAATTTCATCTTTTCTCCTTTTCGGAGAAATCTATACAATAATACTAAACCATTTTATTGGTTAGGATTAGGGTCAAAAACACGTGAGACATACAATAAGTTGGACAAGTTGCGCAAGGTAAATCATAAAGAAATTTCTTTGTTTGATAAATTAAATAATTATTGATATATCGGTTGAATTCTTGTCAGATTCTTAAGGACTTTGAGACTATCCATACATCGCATAAAGATATTGCGTCTCACCTTCAGTATATAGCGAGAGTACAGGGACCAACAAATGATTCAGTTCAACCAAATAAAATTATAGTTAATAACCGGGGAGAGACTGGTTTAGAGGCAATCACAAGATTACAAAATATTGAAAAAACATTAAGAGATGGCATCGCGAGAAGAAGTAAAAAAGGAATATAAATATTCGGAAATATACCTGGAATATGTAGGTATATTATAATAGTGGACCTCTAAATATATATCTATCGTTCGGAATAACCAATCTTTGAGTCACAGTAATAATCAAAAATTAAATATTCCTTACTTCTACAATAGGCAAACCAAACATCTTAGCATATTTAATTAAAATTTTATCTTCGGTCACGAAAAATGTTTCTCCAATATCAGATAACCGAAAGTAATAAAGCCAACAGCTTAGTGTTGGACGATATTCTTGTGGTATGTCGTCCACGCTAAATTTTTCCATTGGATTCATATCTTCATCCTCATTTTCTTGCCCATTACATTCATCAAAATTATCTTGATAGTTTTCTCCAATAAGATATTTCTCTGCAAGAGCCCATTGAGGTAATTTTTCATCCACCTTCTGTGCACGAATGAAATAGTCACCAGGATTTTGTTGTCTTTTTTGAAATTGCTGATCCAAATACCGGATGGCCTCTCGGGCTCTTGCATTTTCTTGGGTGCTCCCTTTCTTAATGAGATCCAACGAGTCAATAACTTTAAAATGAATAATAAGAAATCGTTTTATTATTTTCTATATAATCAAAGATTAAAATAGAAGGTTCCGTTATTACCATCCAGGGGGACGATCACATAGCATTTTCCATCGGCGACCCACTTTCTAACCGAGTTTAAATGGTTGAGAATCACACCGATGTCAAAGACAACAGTGTTTTTTGAAGTTGTATTCTTTCGTTGTAAAGGAAGTCCCCTCTTTTGCAAATTGGTTTCTAATGAGTTCACTTGATCTTGCAACAATTGTTGTGCCATTAGTTTCATGAGTTTTTGACGTTCCTTTTTCTATATAAATATGACGCTTTGAGTAAAATCGTAATTCTCATTACTGAATCTCTAATGAATACTATGGTTACCTTAGTTTCTTCGTCGATCAAGGTAAATTGTCCCATCGATTCATTATAGGTAAATACATCGAGTGACTGATATGTATTCAAATATTAGCTCGAGTTTTATAATAAGTCATTTACATTGCCAAAAAAAAGTTTTAAACCTTAAGTTCAGCCATTTTCCTTCCAAATAAGGCCATTCTAGCTATCCTTACTTTCAGCGGATCAGCTTTAGATGTGAAAATAATGTCTTGTTGCAAAGTACGTAAGGGAACCACACCAAGAAATTCAATATCTTCAATGATAGACTGCTTATACAATTCCGGATTGTCTACACCCAATAAGGAAATCTTAGGATGGTTGAGAATCTCGGATAATAATCTGAAGAAATTCTTCAAATTCTGGATATGAAAATAATTGAGAATTCTTAGATGAATCGAATTTAAATCCAAGATTATTATTAGTCGGAACATTTATATATTGCCATACTCTTAAAAACATCTGAAATATAATCTTATTCTCCTTTTCCACAGATTTGGCGTAGAGATACGATTGAGACAGGGTCTCCGTCGAAGTTCCCAAATATTGACACCATAGAGAAACGGCAGTCAAACATTCTATTAATATCGATCTCATCTTATCACTCATCTGATCCTCGATATCCCATGCCTCGTAAAAGTTTTTCATTATTGGAACCAAGAGGCCAAAAGCCAATCCAATGCTTAAGCTACGAAGTTCAACGTTACGGTATTGAGCTATACGTAAATATAAGATCTTATTAGAAAAATATAAAATTACAAGTAACTTTCAACAACACTCACTTGATCCGTTACGTAAGTTCCAGACCGTAAATATGAGGATAAAGATAATTTTTTTAAGAAGTGAGCTTAGACTACAAAGAATATCTTTCTGCGACGTCAAGAGATGTTCGAATAGTGTAGTGATTTCTTCCGGGGAAATATCACATTCTTGCAAGCTGGACCCATAAGACCAACAGTACGTTTAATCAAATTTTTTCCAATACATACATGCATATATATTTATTTATTTAAAAAGCATACCCTCACCTATCAATATCTTCTTCAAACAAATGACGATGAATTACCAAAAATTTCTTTATAAAATCATTGATATCAGGCCTATGTCGGCATGTATTTAAATGATATTGAAAATCTGGATAATGTTCAAGTACGTTTCCATATGTCAAACTTACTTATCATTTGCACTGAAGTTACTTTGGAGATTACGTTGAGCAAACTTGGCACAGAATACTTTCAGATTTTCTGCAGATATATTCGGAGGTTGCTTTGTGGCAAGGCTGGAGAGAAATGTAAATTAAGTTTCACGAGAAAATAAACGACGATTAACTATTTACAATTAAGAAATATACCTGAAGCAATACCAGTATACAACATCGATATCGTTGTCCCGATGCGCAGAAAGAAGCGCGAGCTGAGCTTGAGCCTTTCCTATTGCAGAATGCAAAACATTTTAACATTCAAATAAATTTCTTTTTCTTTTTTTTAAAAAAAAAAAAAAAAAGGAAAAGGAGTAGAATAAATACCATTGTCACAATGGATTCTAGAAGCTTTAACGTAGAACTGCCTTGAGAATTCCCAACGTTTATCGTTGGTTTCATTAATCACTTCACGGTATCGAGCAAAATCTCCAAGGCGAATAAGACACCGTTGAATACATTCAGCTGCAAGCTCTTTCCTGCGGAGTTTTGACGCGTTTCGGGAAGCGGCGGAAGTACTATTCCTAAAAATTTCTATAGAAGGATAAGTCAACATGCATAAAATGGTGTTAATTAAAGATTATTTACAAATATAAAATTACCAATTCCAATTCGATCCAAATCAATATTCTCTCGAATTTTTAGGCCATTCACGATAGTGTGATAAAAACCGGTCCCTAAATCGAGATAACGACACAGTTCTAAATAAGTTGCTTCGTGCTCGTTTTCCTTTTCCTTTTTATTAATCTTTCGTTTGAGGAAAAGAAAAAAAGTTTAGAGGGATGCGTAAAAAACTCGATTATGAGAGTTATTATGACACTTACTTTGCGTAATTTCTGCCTAAGTCCTTCGATATGACTGTAAAAGACGTGTTGCCAAAGCTTTTCTTCGATATTGTGTTCGTTGGAGAATTTAAAATCAATTAAAATAAGGTCTTCATAAATATCTTTGAGACTGTACAAGAAAAATTTTAGGTATATTAGAATTCAATATAAAATGCTCTTATTTGTCACTTTACCTATTTCGTAAAAATTCTGCATCTTCGTCAAACTCAGTTAAGCTTTCAGTATTGTTGAATTTGCGTTTTTCTTGCTCTTGTTTCTTCAGTTCCCTTTCGAGATTAGAAGCCTCGCTGTTATGTAAAGGAATTGAATTCTCGTTAAAGTAGAGAACGCATTATTATTTAACAGTCAATACATACTTTATTAATTCCTTTAGCCTTTTCCTGTCTTCGTTAACATTTGTTGACATCATAAAGGCATTGATCCATTACTGCACCGAGTAAAGACTTAATATCTACGATTATTTTAATTTATCGGACTTAGCAATAAAGAATATACTGAATTTCGTTTCACAAGAAAATGTAAGGTTGAAGCACTATTTAAAATAATCAAGATCTATTACGTACATTTTTGATGATCAGCCTTATTTTCTGGTTTTCTGTTTACGCAGAATGTCAATGCATTGTCTGCATTTGGCAATAACGGGGCGAATAATTTCTAGAATATTTCATAGGATAGTTCTTTGATGATGCCATCATATGGCAATATTCTTGAAGACCAAAATACAAATATGATTTTTCGGCCCCAGTTTTTTTTTTTTTAATCTGCAATTATGCTATTATGGCATGACATATCTCTATTAAAACAATAAATGTCTATAATATTATATAGGCTATTTTACAAGACAGCTAACTTATCATTGTATATTATTAGTTGAAGAATTATACTACTTAAAAATATAAAAGTCCACTAAGCTAATTTAGACTATACATGTGACAATTAATTAAGTCGCATAATAAAATTAAAATGCAATTAATTGAATCAAAATTAAGTTAACAATAGCTACAAGTATGGTTTAGACTAAATAAAACAAAGTTTAAACTAAGTATTTTAAGTCAAATTAAAAAACAATAATTATTATTTATCGGAACCAATGATTTGTTACTATAGAATATTTTGAAAAATAATAAATTATCAAATTAAAATAACATAAAAAAAAAAGAACAATATAATTTAAAACTTTTTTAAAAGATTTTTATTTAAATTAACAATCTTTTTTTAAAAGAAATTTATCCAATTAAAAATTTTTTTGACTTTGAATTATTTAAAGTTAATATAATTATAAAATATTTAAAAAAATAAAAAATAAATAAATTTTTTATATTTCAAATAGAGTTTTAATTTTTTAAAAAATTTATAATATATTATTATAAAAGTTTTATAATACTTTAATTAAAACTTATAGAAAATAAGTAATAAATCTCCAAGTAATAAAAAAGTTACTATTTGTTTAGGTTAAAGTCTTTTTTTTTCTCTTATTATTTCAATTAAACAATATTTTAGATTAAGAATTTTTTTTTATTTAGTCAGATAATAAGATTAAACTTCAACTTTTTAATTATAATTAAAAAAAAATTTTTTTTATAAATTATTAAAGAATATCATAAATAATAAAACATAATTTTTATTAGATTATATAAGAATTTGAGATCTATTATAAATTACCTTTTTTTTTTAAAAAAAAAATCTACAATCATGTTATAAAGATTTGTCTTTATAGAAAAATTAAAGTAAATCTATAATGATTTATAAACTTTACAAAATGACTAACTTGTCTTCATATATAAGTACTCTAAATTAAATTTTGAAAACAATATTATACTTCCTTGATAAATTGATAATAATTTCTATCTATCAAGATCATTGCCAATAGTTTGTTACTGTTGTTTATCCAAAAACTAATTAATTGCTAAGTTAAAAAGGGAAAATGGAAAAATGATTAGAGGAAAAGACAATTTAAGACTCATCAAAAAAATCTAAAAATAAAAACAATTTCTTCTTAAAAGAGATCAATCTAATTGGAATAGTCTTCTTTTTTTACTTGAATCTCAGAAGAAATTTTCTTTTTCACTATCTGCAGTTAAAGATAGGTCCCTAAAAAGGGAGATAGGAACAAAAGTCAAATGT